GTCTAGATATGCAACTGCTGAACCTAGCTGTTCATCCAGATAAAATTTCTGAAGTTTTGGTATCATTGTGCCTAACAGAATTTCTTATTTTTGTGGAGGACAARTTCAGAGATCATCAACTCGAGAATGCTACACAATGTTAATATAAAAATGTTYTCATGTTCATATTTTTCACATATGGGTTGAAGTTAGCCACCTGCATATACAAAGAAAAAACACGAACTTTTCTTGAACACAATCATTCTCAGACTATGAAGAATAATATGGATTAAATCAGTCTATTGGCTGCATGAAGCCTGACTTTCTTCTCAAGGGACAAGAAAAAAGAAGTTTTTTCTTTCCCTTTTCCATTACTAAGMTGGTCTCCTTAACACCACCCAAAATATAAATATCCATTGCATTTCAATACTTTTAATTTTCAGTACATTCGTTGGTGTCTAAACTTCAGTTCGAATCACGTGCACTTGCCTTATGCATCCGTATCAACCCGGTATCTGAAGCCCATGATGTCCACACACAGTAGTGGTCCTCTCAGAAATCAGCCTCACAGCCTGTATCAAAACACTTCCTGAATTAATATCAGTGAAAAAAGACTGAATTGGTCTTTTGGGAAGACGTGAGGAGAAAGGCAAGGGGAAAGGAATAAAATMATCTACAGAACTAAATGCAATTCTTTATGAAGTTAGTGCAACTGCTGCAATTTATTCTTAAAAACCAAAAAACTCTTTTTCTGGTATTTTGCCAGTTATTTTGCATGCCTTCTAGCATGCACACAAAGTTTACCCTGCCACCACCACCACCCACTTTTCCCCACAAGATCTTCCTACCTTTAGGATATTGCACCACCCTGTGGGCACATCCAGGAAACACCCAGAGAAACATCAAGAGAAGAAGTGAACGGTTGGTCAAAAGGAAGACTGGTAGAGAAGTTTTTGCACATAGTATTTTCATTAGGCAATCCTACAATGTTAACATCCCCTCCAACCCACCCATTTTCCCACCATCCCTGGTTAGGCAAGTTAGTCTTTACAAGCTGCACAACAGCCACAGCTATGGGGAAAAAAAAAAAAATTTCCCTGTCAAAACACTAAGTGTAAGGAGTGCACATCTTTGCACAGTGCTAACTCCTGTTACTATGCATTCAGTAGAAAGAGTTTTAAACTAAGAGTAATGTCTTCCACTGTACTTTCTGGAAGACAAGAGTGAAAATTTATCACTTGAAAAAGGGAGAAGAAAAAAAAAAAAAAAGGTTATAATGGTCTTTACAGTACACCAGTTCATATGATACTGGAATATCAAAYCCTTCTAGCTCTATTGCAAAGAGTTATCTTCCAAGATTACACCTAAACAAAACATACCTTCATGCAGACAAAAAGGGAGCAGAAGCTGTTCCTACTTTTTCCTTCTTTGCCAACTAAAGGTGAATTCTAAGCAGTGTCGTAGCTGGCTGTAGCGCTTGCGCCACGAGAAAACATATCCGGCGACTGCACGGAGTGGGCTATTCCCAGGCGAGACATCTCCTTGGTTATTCTTCTCTTATGYGATTCACAAAGCAGAACGGCCTTGGCAGGTTACACACAACCTCTGGGTACCACCACACTCTCATGGTTTGAGTATCACTACATCAAAAGAACCGAAGYTGTACAAGGTGTTTTACAATAAGCTTGATCTAATGCACAAATATACAGGAGCTAACTAACATGCGGTGGACTTGCATACATTCAAAAAAATAGAATTTATTCAAGTTTGACTTGCTTCTGCTTTTACTATAAGCCAAAAGACAAAAAGAAAAAAAAAATCAGAGTAAAAACGTCTATTTTTACTGCTGTGTCCAATTTAAAACAAGAATGCTATCTGAACTATAGAGCACCAAATGATTCTGAAGACYATTAAATTAAAAGACATCATCAACAACATATTACATTCTGGAAAAAGATAAAACATGAAATCTTAAACAGAAGGGAAATAATTAGTTACGGTATTATAATTTTTAAGTCACTATATTTTTAAGGCAATCTCTTATAGTAATACAAAACACATTACTAATGTGTACTAAAATAAGGTTATTTACTTAAAAATGATACATTGGACATAAACTGTGTACAGAACAAAGCAATTCATGGTAAACTCAATAAGGCACCTTTTAAAGCAGATGCTGTACAAAGCACATTAGTGTGTTACATTTTCAAAGGCGTATTCTACACTTCTGGCATATAACACACCTAAGTGTGACCACTCTCCTTGTTCCACCCTTTCATRTTTTATTTACATCTTCTCTAGGTTAGCTACAAGGTTATTCTTCCTGTATACAATATAGTACACACTTGGGCACGGTACGTCAGAGCACAACTGCCACTACATGACATGGGCTTCTAGAATTGCATTTAAAAGTAAAACATGACGAGGCAACAATTACATGAGATTTGTTTAACAAAGTCASGATCACGTGCACTCTGCTTCTGTCACACCAACCAAGGCTCCACAAAGCACCATCAGGCAGCACTGTAACCCCTTTTAAACATCACCCCTATGCAGGATAAGGGTAGCAGGTAACAGGATTATGTTCTGGACTTCTTCAGAGGCCTGGTCAGAAGAACGAGGCAGTGCTAAATCGTTCTCGTTTGGGGCAGAACGTCAGCGTAACTCCCCTGCAATAACCCCCCAAGGCTTTTCAACTTACGGTTTTGCTTTTCAAACACTTCTAGACTGCTAAAATACCGTCCGTGAAGACGGATCAGATGCCCTGTATCCAAATGATTCATTTCACAGCACATTCAAATGGTCATTTAGATGAAGGTCTAAAATCTGACTCTAGACTGCTAAGGAGATAAAAGATTGACTTTATAGTTTATTCAATACCTTAAGATAGACCAATTTAGAAAACTGCCAAACTGAGGCAGTTTGAGAACTGCTAGTTTCCTAAAACTCATGAAGTCTGATACTTTAAAATGTTCACCTTGAAAATGAAGTTTCTAGCTAACTTCTGCTCAGAATTTAGTGTTCCGGATACCTATTTCTAAAAGGAAAAGTCAAAGCTAAGCAAGGCAGCAGAACTGAAAATAAAAATCAGTATTTTTTTTTGGTAGGAATATCATGTTTCTTGAAAAAATAACAAGTTAAACAGGAACAGAAAGAAAAAACTTTCTTTGAATTAACGTAACAGCATAATATCAATGACTTGAGTTATTCTCCAACTAATACAAATCAAACAGAGCAGATGATACTACTACAAAAAGTAACTGATTTAGAGCTTCCAAGGCACAGTTCTTTCAAAATAAATGCCACGTTTTTTGAAATTAAAAATGAAAAAATACAATTGAAATAATAATGTTAAAACCAACAAAAATTGTCATAGTTGTTTGGGAGAGTCTTTGGATGATAAATATTTTAAATAATTTTGACCAAGAAAATGGGAGTCATAACAATGAAAGAATTCCAGTTCCCATCCCGCAAAGGTTTAGGAATTCCTCAGTACTGCAGGAAGCAACAACTCTGCTTAAGCACTTAACTTATGTTTACACTTATTTTATGTTATGATAATTATACTAGAATTGATGGGCTACTTTAAAGAAAAGTTTTGTTYATTTTTTTTTTCCAAATGATTATTAAAGTATCAGTATATATACACATATATACACTGATATTCCAATTCCATATACACAYAGACTCCAAACTATGAATTACTTTGCATGAAATGTAGGAGAGCTGCTCCCTTGCTTTCTCCAGCCAGGTCCTTTAGCAGTTACATTTTTTGGAATAGTAAGGCAACAATAAAGCAATATTAAGCAGTTCCTGTTCATGTCAATGAATACTGCACATCCATCGTAGGCTTAAGTACGAACCTAGAAAGTGAAGCCCTGAAAAGGGAAGGTGTAGCTTAAGCCTAAAATATTCTTTTTCTCACAAATTTCACAGGTGTTTTTTACAGTGGTCAGCTTACTTCTTCTGTTAAAATGAATGTGTGACCCAATTCAGGTCCTTAGATGTCTACCAAAGATCACCATCCTATTGCCTTGCAAATGCCTAAACAATAGAGGAGAAAATACGTGAATAATTAAACCCATGGAAATTCACATTTCCTTTGTTTTATTTATACTCTCATTGATGACTTCCTGAAGACTTGAGAAAAAAAAAAGCAGGGGAAAAAAAAGGAGTAGGAAAAGAAGAAATAAATCACAAGGTCAAATAAGTTTACAGGTAATGAAGCTGTAGCAATTTCTGAGAGAAAATAGGAATGAATTAAATTAAATATGTCTCCATGTTCTGAAATTATAAGTTACCAGGCTACCTACATAAACATTTTTCCTTCCTATTGACAAAAACTCTAAAGAAAAACAAACCAACAAAAAGCCTTTTCCCTTATTAGTGTGTTTTTTTTTTTGGCTCACATCAAATATTCTCCAACCTGTGCCAAAATAACACATAAAGACATGATAACAGTTTCAGTCTTGTATCTTTCTTGGCAATGGACGGAAACCCCTTTTTCCAGAAGCCCTTTATCATAAGAATTGTGGCACAATATCATTTAGCACTTGTCACTTGCAAATAAGTTAAAGTCATAGTTGACAAACCTATCAACTGTTCGGCCAGAACACACATTAATACTTAAAGGCATTACTGAACAAAAGTAATGACTTTATTTAAAAAAGAAATGTCCCTTGAAATAGCTAGTTTTCTATAAAATATGTAGCACTGTTAAATAAAGTCTGTACATCACAATAGAAAATAAAAATACTGCAATCTTTTGCCTGACCATTTACATTTTGCAAACTACAAAATTAAAAAGAAAAAAACTCATTTGTTAGAACATTGTAGCTGTTCACAAATCACATTAGTTCTGTATTACTTTGTTTTCTACCAGTTGTATTTTCAAGGGATATTTAAACACATTTAAACATTCTCCACGTACATATTTTTAGACAACAAATAATCGGACATAAATCGATCTGAAGTTTTAATATTTCCCATCAATTTTAGTATTATCCCTACCTTTTTCTCTGTCAAATCTCAGCTATGGCGTGTCTGTGCACATGTACCTAACTGTACACATGTACTTAGGACTAGATGTTTGTTAATAAAGCACAAAGCACACTGCATAAATAACTTCCCTTTTTAAAGTTATCTAAAACAAGGTTTACAGTACGAAGTTATAGGCACTTAAATTATCAAATAGGTTGAATGGTTCCAATACTGTGTGTTCATTCTTCAGATGATTTTTTCAGGCGCAACTGAAGTTTCAGCTGGAGCTGTGCTACCGTTTTTGACTTCAAGCCACAAGTGGCAAAGGAGGCGCATAGCACTATCTGCCCTACAGCAACCTCAGGGAGGGGTTTGGCCCCGGCTTTTTAACTCACTTGCAAAATAGTTGGTGCAATACAGTCAAATTCTGCAATTCTGTTTCTTTGCTCTATCTTCATGAGATCTCTTTCCATGCTATTCCTCCCAAATATGACTAACTTGAATTAAAAATAATCACCGATTTACCTTTTTCACAAATCTTGGATTTTACAACTGTTCTCTAAGCAGTCCGCAAACCCAATTCACGAGTCTTTTGGCATCTGTGGATGGATGGCTATCTTGAATGGGTCAAATACTTGGCTCTCCAGGTCTCCACCTCTACTGCATTCTCTAATCTTCTCCACTGAGCCTGTGCTTTGTGATTTCCCTCTTTYGTACCTATAAATAAGACTTGGTCTCAAGCCTTTCAAAACTTATCTTCTGCCTGGTTTTGTCAACTGTTGAGAAAGTGTGTTCCTACAGCTAATTCCTTCCCGTATGGAAAAAGTTGAGAGCATGACAGGCATCTACAGGTAAGTCCAATTAAAGCAGAAAGGCATCACCGATCTGTTAAGATATGAAGTATTATACAGCAAAAACGCTGGCTGCATGTGACATTATGAAAAATATGCCAGATTTTATAACTGTGCAATTATGGAGCCCACTAGACTGTAAGCATGGTGGCCAAGGCAATTTAATACCTCTAAGAGATATTGCTTCAAGCTCCTTACAGACTCAGGTAGGCTTTGGTTTATAATTGGTTCACATTTTTGCAGCTTTCTTTGTGATCAAAGGAAGCACAGAAATAAAATTAAAACTGAGATTTTAGAGGATAATGGCAAGGAATCAATTCTGCAGCAAGTTCTGTGATTGTGAAGTCACAAAGTACTCAGAGCTCTGACCACAGAAATTTGTTCATTTAAATGGTTTCTTATCTATCCCAAATGGCAGCAAAATAATCCTGGCACACACATAAAGGCATAAGGAACTGTTAAACTGAGCGGTATCACAAACTTATCCATAACCTACAGGCTGTTTCACAAAAACTTGGTATGAATTGACTAGGTTTTTATCAGGTAGAAGGCAAAAAAGCTTATATTCTCCATCTCCGTTGAATCCATTTAGCTTGTTAGGCTTTCACAGAAAGCACTGTAATCTGAACATTCAATTCAGTACCCAGAGTTTTACTGGAGACTCACTAAGTATGACTGAAGTCTCAATGCAGCTCAAACAAAAATGAAACGTGTATTTTCACAAGGCTGTCCATCTATGTAGCATGCGGAGGCTCTCAGCATCACTGTCTATGAAGTACTGAAAGATTTAATTAGCAGCCTGTAGAAGAGTGGTGAGGAAAAAAACTGATTCTCAGTTGCTTCCTCTTCCCACTTAGATCTCACCCACGTTTGAGTGGAAAGTTCCAGGAGTCCAGCTTCGCTCCCCAATATCACTTGACTGCGTCATATCTTTACATCTTGTGATTCCACCATCTTGGCAAGTGTCTTCTTGATCCTCAAGGCAGTAAGTCTCGAGGCAGGATTATGGGCCCAGCATTCAGACATGAGTTTCAATATTGCTCTTAAACACTGAAAGACAAAACAACGGACAACAACACTTGAACAACTAATAATCCCAAGGGATATTTTAGTTCATTGCCATGTCCAAATTACAAACTACTCCCAAAGATAAAACTCTAGTTTTTTCAGCAAAACTGCTGTTGAAAGTTATCTTAAACAGATGAGTTAATAAACTGACACAAGCCCCTTCTTTTTCCTTCCCTCAAATTGCAGCACCTGGAACTAACTGAATTTTGCTTTTAGTTGCACACAGATGCACTGCCACAGTTTGCTGTTATAAATTAAGGATGGAGCTACATTAAAACATTCGCATAAACAGGTGAGCTGATCTCAAACACTTCTTTTATTGGTTCTGCAAGGCTTCAAAGTATTGGACTACCTAAACACGTTCCCTATTATTTTTTAATGTTTTTAAGCTAAAATATTTTTTCTTCTCATCATACTTACTTCATCACTATTCCACCTATTGGATACCACTGGGCGCAGACGTTTGACACACACCACTTCTCTCATATCCTCGTAGGATGGATCATTTGGCACCATATCATAATATGGCAACTGATACTCTTCAACAATACCTGCAGATAAACGCAGATCAAGCATCACAAAAAAAGGACAAAACTACGTGCTCTCAGATTTCCTTAGCTAGGAGCAGAAGTTAACTCAATTTTCTCACTGTACCAAGTCACCAACACACTGTTATTGTGCTAAAAGCCTAGAATTTCAATGCAACAATCAGTTACTAACCGTCAGGAATATTTAGTCTAAAAGCTTCATCAGTTCCTTGCAGTTCCCTCGACTTCAATGTGGAACACAGAATTTGTTGCCCTCTAATCCTGCTAACCCAAACCTGTGTCCCGTGCGTGAATTGCTACTTCTGCTTCTGAAGAAGGCAAGCCAGCTGGCAGCAGGATTATGTCTGTTGCATGACTGCCTAGAGAGGTAAATTGGATATGGGTCTGGCAAATTTTAAACAGAAGATTCCAAATTTTACCTCCTGTGACACAGCGCCGAGCCATTTCCCAGATGATCAGCCCAAAACTGTAGATGTCAGCCATGATGTATGGTTGGAAATGATTTTTATTTAGGCTTTCATCGAGGACTTCTGGAGCCATGTAACGTTTTGTTCCCACTCTAGTGTTCAAGGGAACATCAACTTCGTTGGTATCACTATGTGAAAATGTTACAAAGTTAGTAAATTGTGTAATTACAAACATGGTGTGAAATAGTGCACGATGGAATCACTACACTGCAAATTCCTCATGTGCAAATTAAAATTTCTTTCTTGTATTTCCCTTTCAATACTACACTGACTACATACATCATACCTCCCAGAAAAAGCCTGTGTAGAGAAATTATCATGATTATTATACTTGACAACTAATTCTATTGCACGACAAAGAAAAACGCATATGAATAAGCTGAATTAAAAACCACTATAAAGACGAATATGTTTGGCAACAACTCAGATGCCAAAAGTTTATGTTTTCTTTCAGGCTTTACTGTAACAAAACAAAACAAAACATCCCACAAACTTAAAATGTGTCCAGCAATACTATTATAAGTATTCTTTTTGCAATTAAGCCTCAATTTCAGCACTGCTCATAATTTCTATGAGACAGAAATTATGATGAAATTACATGCTAGCAATCAATAAAGCAGTTTTGAATGATCAGTTAATCTCCTTTTACTTTCCTCTACCAAGTAGTGAGTTACTACTTCTACTTCCCACTTTCCTTATCCTCTGCTTAACAACCTTCAAGAGCAACCTTGATATTTACCAGTATTCAAAGAAAAAAAGTTTATTTTACTTTCAATACAGACAAAATCTGATGCCATGCAACCTACGGATTTTGTATCCCTGTTCAACTGGGCATCTGGTAATTTTAAAAAAATAAATACAAAGTTAATCATGTATCTATTTTATATATTTTCTTTTTCCTATTACAGATGCTTTTTGTCCACTTACCTGTTAAACTTGACTGCAAGCCCCAAGTCAGCAATACAGCAGGTTCCATTTTTCTTTATTAAGATATTTTTRCTCTTCAAGTCCCTGTGTGCAATAGCAGGCTTGCCTTGCGTCCCATAAATTTCTGTGTGTAGATGGCAGAGGCCACATGCAGCAGAATAGGCCAGTTTGAGGAGGGCCCTGTTGTCTAGTGTAGTGCATTTCAAAAAATCATATAATGATCCATTTTCATGATAATCTGTAATCAAGTAGAGCTGTGTCCAGGAGCCAGTGCCCTTAATGTCTGCAGCTATAAAACCTGTGAAACATACGGCCAAAGTTAAAAAATGTTTGCAAACAAATGCTTAATGCAAATGATTCTATATTAATTTTAAAGTTATATTCTCTCAGTAWGAAAGGGTATCTATTCCCCTTATGAAAACCATGAAAAGGTTGTATTTCAACCTTAAATGAGGTGGTTATTCCTGTCTTCTAGCAGTGCGATGGCAGTCATACACATTTCCAACCACAAGATCCTACTTTTGGGGGATCTTACTTTCATTAGTAACCAATATTCTGTAAAAGAAGCTACATTCTCTCCAAAACATTCATTAAATAACTCCTCCTCCTTCACCCTGCACCCCTTCAGCACTCGAGCAACGCATTCCGCACTCACCAAGGATATTCTCGTGCCGCATTAGCACAGTTTGGTAGATTTCTGTTTCTCGGAACCAGCTGGCTTCTTCTGTAGTGAAAAACACCTTGACGGCCACTTTCTCGCCCCTCCACTTGCCCATCCACACCTCACCATATCGGCCCTTCCCAACTTGCCTCACCATCTGAATTTGCTTGGCAATAGTGCGCTGAACCTATGGGGTAAAAAACATAAGGCAGTGTGGGGAACAGAAAAAATCAGCAACTTAGATAGCCAGGCAAGCTGCCTATCAGACAAAACTCCGACTGCTTTGAGAGTGATTCTATTTGAAAAGTCTTCAGATTTTCCTTCTATTCCYACTTTAAATTTATTATTATTGCTTCCAATGGAGCATTTTATTAAAAGATTAAATCAGCTTATATCAGATCGCATTGTATTTGTTTCTAATTTAAATATACTTACAGTCATCTTTGTTATTGGTTAATCGTTCACTCAAATGATCTTAACACTTATAATCTCATATTAATACTCTTAATATGAGTATTAAATGTAATGTTTAATCAAAAAATGTGAACAGTTCAACATAGCAAGTGCAATCTATCAATAGTGGAAATGAAAAAAAATAATCCTGGGTTTTGCTCAATTGGATACTTGTTACAATCAGCATTCTATTTTTATCCTAATGTTGAGTTAATGTAGTTTTTCTTTATATTTAGCTGAAGTGAGATTTCTGAAACAGTCTAGTTTTGCATTTGGTTTAGTTATCTGAAAAGAGACTTCTGTATGTTTGTGCTTTGTATAGKATCTTTCACAGTAATCACCTATACAAATAATCTACATAAAATATTGAAACTGCTTTGTTCTAAGCATTAAATATAAAACTAAACTTTGCATTTGATGCAGAGAAGACAAGTGAAAAAAAAAATTCATTTATGTTTTACCAGCAATGGTAGTCCTGATCCGCTGCCTGAACTCTGYGACTGGTCAATAAGGTCCTTCAATGACTCCCCAGCTGGAATAAATGCTTCATCTTGCTCCAGGTCACGATTATAACAGCGTCTCTTTGCCACCCACTTACAATAATGCCTGCAAAAAAGAAGAGGAGAGATAAGTTGAGCTTCAAAAATTTACATTTTTTGGAAATATGTAACAAATAGAGCTAGAAAAGATATTTGAATGCACAAGCTTTCATAAAAATCTAGATATTAATATACACGGAGATGTGAAATGGAGTTACAATGGTTTCTGCCTTAATGTATTTTTATTAGAAATACGTATGACCAAGTACAACTACAAAATAAATATTCTTTTTACATTCTTTTGGGAACCATAAAAGAGCTTTCCTTACTTGTAGCAGAAGCAACTGAATAAGATGATCATGACAATTATGCAGACAGCCATAGAAATTAACACTGCCATCCAACGAATGCTGCCATCAAAAAGTCCATCTGTTAAAAAAAAGTCTATTAATGAAATGTCTAATCTAAACATAATTTAGGTACGACATTTTCATATACAATGCATTTTGGCACTGCACAGTAATAACTATGTAAACACATTTWTACAAAGTATGACAATTCTATAGACCCTCCCAGACTGAATACATTTGCCAGAAAAGCAACAAAATACAAGGTTATTTTAAACCTTTGAAGCATTGCATTTTGTTTTCCAWATTAACATTACCAATAACGTGTAACTGAGGAAAGTAAACTAAAATTTATTTTAGTGGCAGTAGACCCAGAGAACACGACTCTGAATTTCTGGGTACRTTTTGATTACTTATAACACTGCAGATAAACTAACCCAAGATATAAAAAAGGTTCTAGGCTGGTAGACAGTAAAATACAATGCAACTTCACTTAAAAAGGAATATCAAACCCAGTCTTTTTGATACGAGGGACTGGCCTAAGAGGAAAAATAAAACTGCAAGTGACTGATGGTAAAAAAGCTTAACCTGTAAGTGAAAGAAAAGCAGAGCTGAAAATGCAGAAGGATTAAGGAAATGCAGAAGACATTAAGGAAAGATCTGTTCACTCTTTCTCTGGATTTTCATTAGTTGATGAGGAACAGCGGAACCTACAAAGCATTAGTGGCAGCATGAACAGCTGCTCGGTTGCCTACCTGTGCTATCAAGCGGTGGTAGCGTTGGCTGTAAATCCTGGTTGCAGAAGTCAGTCCGACAGCACTCAATTGTCCGCCGCAGCTGGGCTTTCGGTGAGTCCTACAGGGAGAAAAGAGAACATCCAGATCCTGAAGTGATCTCCTAGGAAGGGGACTGGAGCTGGTACTGATACAACACGGACGGATGTTTCGGTGATTTTCTTTAAAAAGCCACTCAACCTCACTGCTGAATGTATGAGACTTAACAAGTACTTGCCAGTCTTTGGACTGCAAGAATTTATTTATTTATTTATTACTTCTCACAGAACCTCTTTACTTCATGAACAGAAACAGGCAATTCCTACTTAAGCAAGTACTTCATATTCCGTAAAATTTCTAAGGGTGGCCAACAGCAGCTTACTGTATACTATATATACTGTTGATTGCCATATATATGGAACCCTACGTTTCCATATTTAGTTAAAGCTACATCAGATTCCCTGCACTCAATCCATGTCCTCACACTCACTCATCTACTACTAATGGATACCCCCCTATCAGTGCCCATGTCACTGTCACATGCTGCCTTCCAGGCTCCTTGTCTCTAAATCCTCCCTGCTCTTGGTTTAACTTCCATGGATATTTTCAAGGGATGCCAGCACTTTGGCAAATGTTTGCTTTTTAAAGTACGTATTTTGATGAGAATTTGACAGCCTTTATCATAATTTCTGACCAGAGATCTTCAGCATACAGATGCTGATTTAACACTTAAGAAAAACTGTATCCCTACAGGATCTTATCATGAAAAGAGAAAATTTCAGGAAGAAATATCATTATTTTTAAAGCTAATTATCACTTCTTTAATTTTGCAGGGAATATCTCTAGCTACCTCTTCTTTTTTCTTTCCTTTGAGTATATACTCAAACAAATATTTACTTTTTGACACTGAAATTGGCAGGGAGTAGTTAAGTGGATATTTGTTACCAGCAAGCCATCTGATTTGTTACCAGCAAGCCATCATTCACTGTGGTGAAGGATAACATGCAAACTTTTACGACACCAAGTCATAAACTATACACATTTAAACTGCTCAGGTAGTTTCCCTAGATAATCTCCACAGAGATCTCCAGGTATCTCATTTGTACCTTGCACTGAAAGTCAGAACCTTCATACTTCATGCAGCCAGAAGCAAGCGTRGGTTCTCCATGTTCATCTTCCTCAACGATAGCAAAGCAATGCCCATTTGTTCTGCAATAAATATATCAACTTTAGTAGTCTGTTTGCAGTCTACTGGGCAAGATTAGTTAACCATGAATCCATTAATACTGGTACTGCAGTATCGAAAATAATTCCTCAATAATGCAGTAATTGCCAAGTTTGATGAAACCAAAAAACACCCACAGTATTTTCAAAGAAAACACAGAATATAGTTCTCTCTCAAATATTCTTCTTTTTCCTTAAACAAATAAAAAAGATGAAAATAACAAAAAATCCAATAACTTTGACAACTATACACGGTTGTTAGAAAACAAAACAAAACAAAAAACCTAACAAAACACACAGACACACACACATAAAACCAAAAAGCCCAACCCATCAATTCACTGACATCTTCTTGAAACTGCAATACTGGGCAAATACTGGGAAACTGAGGAATAATAGCTTTGGAATAGTAAAATAGGATACCTCAACCTGTACAGCTACGCTTTTTCCAAAAAAAATGTACTCATATACTCAGTCTTTAATGAGAGTAAGAAAAGAAATACAAAATCAAGTAGTAAACAAATTTTATTATTGCAAAAAGCAGAACTTAAATTTAAATAATCTTTTACAGTATCACTTAATTCCTGGTTTCTCTTAAACAATCGGTTTGCAACAGAGTTGCAACAACTGTTGACAACACATGGCAAGAATCCTAAACCAATTCCTTGTGTTCRATCTGTGCTTTCAATACTTACATAGTTTCTAGGTAAATCAAAATTAYAGGATTTGTTTGCTATGAAGACTTTCAGTTACTGTTGAAGCAACTTGGATTTAAAGAAGCATAATACCATAAGATACCCTGCACGTGCCTACTTCATTAGTGTAACGAATTCTAACAGCTTTATTACCAGAATACTGATTTACAGCTGTTTGTCACTTTACAGGAAAATTAAAAATGAAGATCTACACTGGAGTGTGCACTAGGGGGCGATAAAAAGCAAAAAAGATTCAAGGACATTTCCAGACAATACTGAATCATAATGCAAAATTAAATCTCCAGGTGCAAAAGCAAATTCATAAAACACTACCTTCATGTCCATTTATAAAAAAAGTATCTGTGTTTCTTCAACTGTCCACAAAAAGTGCAAAAATGCTTTACATGCCAAATGACAGCTAGAGAGATATAGAGAAACACTAAGCTAAATGAACACCCAGTACTGTTAGAACATTTAGATTGGGGCAATTTAATACTGTCCCAGTTATAAAATGCTASAGGTTACTTAAAACCTCAATCCTTCAAAGCAGTTGCTGGAGGCAAATCAACTGGTTGTGAACAGTTCTAACATGTGGTGAAGGTAATACTGCTTACATATATTTGATTAAGGATTTCTAGCATTCAGCTTTCCATAGAAATAGTGAGTTGCTGATCACCTATAAATCACCTGAAAGATCTAAAATCAGCATTGTAGAGATACTTTCATGTACTGTGATTCAAAAAGAGCCTTTTCAAGTTCTGCTGTGTCCTGCATTCAATACTTACATGCATGTATTGTTAATAGCATCATCTGGACAATGCCCCGAACAGTAGCATTTAAGAAAGGGTAAGGTGTCCTCTGGAGCGAGTGTTACTCCATTTGCTTGTTTCTTTTGGTCAGGATTTGTCTTCATTCCCGTGCCAGGATTTTGTCCTGATCATTGAAAGAACAACAAGTTACTCCTAATTGGTTAAAAACCTTAAGAAAAAGAGAACAAAAAAAACMCAAAGAAACAAAAAAACCCCAAAACAAAACCCACCCACCAACAGAATGATGATATTRAAGGGTAAGAGTGAATTATAAACCTTAAAACTCTGTGGGATCACAACAGCAATTTTGACCTAATTATTTCACTCTGGAAATAGCTGGCCCTAATACTTTATATCAGATCATCCATACACAATCACTAAAACCAGGAAGAGGGAGTTTTCCCTTTTCGAGACAGGATAGTGATGTAACACTGGTAAGAATTTYGTGAAGAAAGTCCTTTTCATTCATGTGTTTCAAAAACCAAAACACTGGYCAGCTCAATAACCACAACAGGATAATTCTATGCATGACTGAATACACTCAATATGCAATTTTCTAATTCTCTGCAGTCATTTTTCTGGATTCACAGCCTCACAGAAGAGCTATAATAACTCTAAAATCTCTTGGGTTTTTTTTGATCTCCATCTGCATTAGTAGTTCAAAACAGAGCTAAAGTAAATCTTGTTTGCAAATTRAATTTTAGTCAGTGACGTGAACATCCACACAAATGAGCTTTCATAGAATAAAAATAGGCTTAAATAAAGTTCCAAGTAGCCCTTAATTWCACAGCAGTAAGAAATAGTTGAATATCATTTTTCTAGATCATATTATTGAAGTGCTGTTCTGAAAGTCAGCCTTCAGAAGAAAAATCCCATCTGTTTTCTTCCTAGGGAAGAACATCCAGGGCAGAAGAAAAAAGAACATTAACTGCCTCATTTGACATATGTTCTCTGACCACTGCATAGCAGACAAGAGCATCTTTGTCTGGYTCCTTCAGATTTTTCAAACAATTCCACTAGCAAAAATCCCTAGTATTACAGTATTCTTGGCTCCTTACTTTCTCACGGGCAGGCGAGCTAAGTGAAGCCAGACGACTTCTGACCAGACTATCACCTGCAGGGAGAGCATTTACAGCAACCAGTGTGCGATGCCCAATGTGCAAGATAAGCAAACCCACACAATTAGGCTTTATGGAAGCTTTTATTACAATCCAGCAAGTGGAGATTCCTCTATACTTTTCAAAAAGATTTTAATCACACTGAAAATCTCCAAGAAACTACTATGCAGTAGTCTATCTATACAATCATCTTTGCAGTATAACCAAAAGGAATTCTGCACATATAAAATGGCAGTTCCTCCAGAAGTCATTCCTACTCTTTCTAGTTTTCTTCCTAATAATGTTGGAAATGTCATTTTAATACTGTACTACTTTCACAGCATTCTCTTTTTTGATTTTAAGAGCTCCTTACTTGCTTGGAAAACAGATAGCTCCACCTCCTAAGCTTTACTTAAAGAAAACGCCACTGCCCATGCACAAGTGCTAACTAACAGTCTAACTTTGCACACCTAAGGTGTCTTTACAAGCTAATTTTATAGCCTCTCTTCACCTTCTAAGACATTCCGCATGTCAAAAGTCTGTAAAATCGAAAATTTTATGATCTGCATCTCAGTCCTAACACCTCCCTACCCCGAGCACCAAATGCAGTATTTTCTCGATTCAAAGTGGAACCAGGGAACCCTCAGTGCACGGCTTCTCAGAGGAGAAAGGACAAAATTCTAACACGCAATTTATAATAGAGACTATCATAATTTCATCTTACGGATAGTATTTACGAGTTGCACAAAAATAACTTGCTTTACTCTTTCATTATTACTTTCCAGAACTACAAATCAACAACAACAACAAACTATTAAACAGAGAAGATAACTGAGTATCCAGGAAGGGTTGGGGAGGAAGAGAAAGGAAAATAYGCAGATTGTTTAGGTTCACGTTCAGTGGAAAGTTTTGAAATAGCCTGTGCTATTTACCCCCAACTGCTTTCTGCATCCTTCCCTGTAGCACTACAGTTCAACCTCAGCATTTCAGGCAGGCAGAGGAARGGAACTGCATGTGGAAAATAACTTGTCCTACATGAACCTGAGATGCCAGACATAGATCAAGATTTGTGTGTGGGAATCATCACAGGAGTTTTCATTGCTGCTTTTCCTGGTTAAGCGCAATTGGCCGGATGACTGGAAGTGAATGAGGACTGTGCCAAGACGATGCTCTGCCTCAGGAATGACAAGGCCTGGCTCTATCAATGCTCAGCTCATCCCTCACCCACAGCGCTCCATCTCTTCCAACTGCTTTATCAGATAGCAGGACAGGAAAACGGAGGAGCACTTTTTAGGGATCTGGTGCCACTGCACTACTGCGAGGACATAATTAATAGCTTCTTCTGTCACATTCACTTGTCAGCTCAGTGCTGGAGCAAAGAAACGCCCAGACGCTCTGCACATACAGATAAGAAGGCATTAAAATGGGCTGAAGACTTAAGAAGGAAAAAAAAAGCTGAGGAATAATTACTGCCAACATAACACAGACAGCCTTTGATCAAGGCCATCAATTATTCAGAGAACCATTTCCTCCAATCATTAAATAAAATAGTTAACTGACACATTGATTTTCAAGCATTTTCAAGTACAGTAAAAATACCACTAAAAACATAAGTCTACTTGAAAGCACAGCCTAAAATACAAATGTTAGTATAGATGACTTTTTAAAAAAGYATTTTGCATGACAGCGAAGTGAATGTTAACCACGAAAAACTGAGCAAACTCAGTTGCTGCTTAACAATCTGTTTGCCAGGATTCATGTGTAATTTGATTAGGTCTTCTGATTTAGGAAGACATTTATATACACCATAAAAAAACAAGTCCGTAATAGTTGCAGAGACAGAAAGGGCAGTAAGTGAAAGAAGACACAGGAGCCAAATCACGCCTAGAATTTCATACCTAATTGTATTCTTTTTCCTTCTACTAATAAATGCTAGAACTAGTAGCCTACAAAATTTCAGATTACTGACAGCTTTCTGAATTCACAATGGTATRGTCTTCCTCTGATTTGTTTAACTAAATATTTCAAACAAAATGATTTTTATTCCAGAATAAATTGTCTTTAAAAGGGGTTTAATCTTAGCAGAAATGACAGTACTCTATGTATTTCTTTGTAGCAATCCAGTAAACTCCGTATTTCAAACAACAATTACTTTTTCACCAATTCTCTCTGCTTTTCTCTCAGGTATAGAGCTCAACCCACCTTGCTGGTGCTCAGGCTGTTTGCACTGGCCAGCTGACACTCAGAGCTCACCAGCACTGACGTGCTGGACTCTTTCTGTAAAAGATGGACCAGCCTCTTGATGTTAGGCAGGCAGTTATGGAAAAGAAGTTCTTACATGGCAGTAGTTTTAAATTACTTTTTCTAGCTCTGTAGATACTAAAAGCCTTCCACTACAATAAGGAACCGACACTTTTCTGCCCATCAAAAGAGTCCATAATGAGTAGTGCTATATAAATTACAGCTTAGTAGAGCTGATACATTCGGGATAATATTTCAGTACTTAAAAAATAGTAATAATGAAATAAAGAATACAACCAGAACACTTCTGTGAGTGTGAAGAAAGCATCTTAAATGCTTTTCTGAGCTCTGCATCTGGCAGTTCTGCCATAACTCTGCAGGTAGTGAATTTTGATATATCAAGTCCGTGATCTCCAGGCACATTACAGGTAGCTCAGTCTAGCAGAACTGGTTCCTAAAAAGCACAGCAAGTTCCCAGACTATTTGTTTAAAAATCTCTCTCTGCTGCCCTCCAGCTTTCCCAGGAGCTACACTATAATGTTCAATCCTGACAGGCAGCTCTCAGCTTCCCTCTCTTCCCAGCCTCTAGTCCTACCTACCTTCCTTCCTAGAAAATATATTTCTAAGAAATGTTATTCTGTTCTTATGCATTACATAGATTAGTCACAGAGAGAAAGACTTTATTTTCTACAGTATATCTGAAGAACATGCAAAGCTTCATGAACCACACATCTAATATTACGTCATGCACCAAACTGACAGAAATGAATTGCAAAGTCATGAGCCTATGTATATACTACATAATGACTGCTCTGCTACATGTTTTGGTTATTTATGGCTATCAGTGGGACTTCAAGTTAAAAAGAAAATACAAAATTTACAGCTTCAAAAGATCAAGCCATTCTGAACAAAAGGCAATGCTGTGAAGTACAATAACAAAAAAAAAAGACAAAACAAAAGAAAAAAGAAAAAAAGTAAAAAGCACCTTCATTTTGCTTTTTTCAGACAGCAAAATATTGCAAGAGAACATGTGTTTGTACAAAATATTTACAGGAAGCAAAAATACCAGTCATCTTAGCACTAGGAAAAGGAAGTAGAAAATATTGCAGGGCCTTTCCTAAACTCAACTCTTGCACTGTGAAATTAAGGAAATAAACCTGTGCTTGTGCGTTTCTACCTGTCCTACAGAAGACACAGTTGTGTACAAAAATGAGGTCTGTCCTAACAATCACAGCAATGACTTTCTACTTTGATTTCTGTGCTGTAAAGTAGCACTGCATTACAGAAAAGAACTAACTCTATCCTGAAATAATACTGGTTCTTTCAATTAASCATCTGCAGCAATGGTAATTCAGAAGCACATTTTGTGCCAATATTCACAAATTAAGTTGATATCCAGCCTTACATGAGCAAGAGAGGAAGGCACATGACTAAACCCTGCACAAAGAAGGAAATACAAGAGTATGTTTCAGAAGTATCTTCCAAAAGTCTGCTATTAAATCTAGCCACTTGTTGCCCCACATTCATCTTCTATTACTTCTCAAAGAAACCAGAGCAAGGCCACCGCAACCTAGAGAAAAAACACGTTCTAGACAGTAACCTCCCCACATCCCTGCTCCTTGTCCTGAGGTGAGAAACGTCAGCTGCTCAACAGCAATTTCCCAGAGTTGTTTGCTTGCTACCTTAGAAATATTTTCACATTATCAGCAGGTACAACCACATACTTAAAGTTCATGTGRCGGAAGATATAAATACATGTTCAAGTATATGGACATTTACTATAAATCTTTCCTCTGGGCTTTTATAAGCTCTGAAAATCCTGGCAATTTCAAGAAATCTCCAGAAGAACCAAGCAAGCAAACCATTAAACTTGTGGCCCATTGCTGAAAGCATAAACCAGTGTATATGCGTATTTCTAYTTTATCTTTTTCATCTCCTCTTTTTGATTTCTCACAAGTTCTCAGTTCCTTCTGATGCATGTTCTTCACCTCTGCTGCTTCCTGCATATGAGTGCACTTGTGTAACACCTCGTATAGTTCTTCCTGCTGATGCTGTTTTGACTTTTCACTTTAGATTTCCTCTTCCCTATGAAAATTCAAATCTTTGATTGAACTGTCAGCTTTGTTCATTCATCCCTAAATACCAAGAACTTGACAATAAGCAAAAAGACTGGACTGTTTTTCTACTCACTAGCCCTGGAAACCAAACATAGGTCACATGGCTGAAGACAAGTCCTTAGGCAAGTCGCATCAAAGAAGCAACATTTCAGTTAGGTCAACTTCCCCATGGTTTTTAGAACTTGTTCAGTATTGATTTCAAAGTTAGTTGAACTCAGYTTCCTCTTCAGAAGTTGACTTCTTTAATAGGGTATTTCAAGCTAACTATATCACATAGTTAATAAGAAAATATTGAAGCATCTGTAATAAATGTGATCATGGAAGGAATTAATGCAGTTCACTTGCAAGTGACTGCAAAGGTTGGTATATTCTGTTGTGTATATTATGAGAGAAAGAAAACTTCCTTACTTCAGCTGCTACATATTTACCTTGAACATGCAGAATGATAAGCAGATAGGCTCCAAGTAATTGCTCATAAACTCTCAGTCGAGTCATTGTTCACTTCTAATCCCTCCTGTGCAAAGGAACTGGCCCTTCTGCTTCACAAATGTTAAGCTTGGTCTGTTCAGCGAAGCCCAATTTAAGATTTGGTGGCTGACTACAAAGATGATATTGCAGCTTTCCCAACTTGTTTTCTGAAAGATATAAGATAAGATACAGGTATAAGTAATGACTTGCAAGGAAAAAAAAAATAAATTTCAGCACGCTGAACATTAACTAGCTGGCTGCAAAAACAATATTTTAAAATGCATACATTTATCCAGATCAACAATTGAAAACAGTTGCCATATTTGTTATGCAACAGAAGAATAAAGTTTTCCTCCAATACCTATTTTTGGTACTAATCAGATCCAAAGGAACATTTTGAAAACCATATTTTAACCGCTAGATATATCAGCTCACTGGCCACAGGCATATAATTTACACTATTATAGGTAATATTTAATAGATTAACATATAAAAGTAAGTCTGTTTAAAAACCTGTTTCCACTACATGAATTATAAATTAGACCTACTATTTGACTTAAAGAACTTGGTGACTTCCCATCGTACTGCTGTAAGACAGTAACGCCATATTCTGCCAAAGGTTTAAAAACGCTTGAAGAAAAGCTGTATCTTTACTGTCCGACAACTACACTGGTATTAAACTATGTGATTTAGTTACCTAATTCACTTGAAATATTACTTTTAATTGGTCTCCTAATATAGTATCAAGTCTTGAAAACAAAGTTAAAAAAATTACACAGTCTCATTTAGCATTAGAATTAAGAAAATAGTCTCTCAGTTAACATCACATGTATTCCAGTCCTCCTTTTCTGCAAACTCATATGCGAGTGTTTTTTGGGGAGGGAAGTGAGAATGGGGGGAGAGGATGGGGTAGTATATTCCATTTACAACATCAACCAAAAACTATTAATAATCGCTCTTAACTAAAATGAAGAATCCCAACATCCTTCTAGATTCCCAAGTTCTGTGCAGTTAAATCCTGCCTGAAGAAATATGCTATTATATGGACACACAACTTGCTGCAAGGTTAAATACAGTTCTATTAATTTAGCAGATTAACGCACAGATAAGACAGTCATATTGAATGGAAAAAAATACTTTTGCAGACCACAGCGGTCAAGCTTCATTCCTTAAGCAAGTGCGGTTGTGGCCACATTCTTCCCTGTGAACTTTTTGCAGGGATGAACAAAGGGCGCCCAATTCTCCTCAAAGGATGAAAAAGCAACCCGGACACCTAAATAGTTAATAGAGACAAAAGCGATTTTGTACGAGGAGGAACAGAGGAGCGATTTTGCCTTTCTTTGGCCTCTTGTTTCGGTGGGCTCGACCCCCGTGACCCCTGTCAGCCCGGCGCTATTCAGGAACGCCGAGGCGCCTATTTGTGCAAGGATGTGCTGCAATTACTGTTGGTGGCCGCTTCCACCATAAATAACTCAATCTGTCTGCTGGTAAGACCTCCAAACTTTTCATTTTAATTAGTGCTTCGGCGGCGGTTAACATGGAGGCAAATTAGCGGCAGGGCCGGGAGGTGTCTGTCACTTCCAATTTCGGCGGGGAAGGGGCACGCAGCCTTCGACCCGTGCCCTACTTTTCACACATCTCTGACTTCTCCGTAATGAAGTAACAAAGCTGCCCGTCACCAGCGGGGCCGGGCCGGGCCCGCCACGGGCACGGGGCTCTGCACAGAGAGGCTCCGGRCTGCGAACCGCTGCTCCCGGCACACCATGCAGCACGGATATTTTCATTCATTAAAATCGGGCCGTTTTACAGAGTTACATTGTGCTCCGAACAATGCCCTGCACAAACACTCGGAACGCTAATAACTTCAAAACAAACTTCCTCTGAAGGCAGAAATAAAAGCAATAGAGCAACAAAAACATTCGTTCTCTGAAGTAATTCATCACTAGAAGAAACGACTTCTTGAGAGCTGCGAGGGAAGAGCCTTCTGGCTATGAAAACATGAGGACACCAACATAAAGCCAAGCTGGTGCTTTATTCGGCGGCTCAATTGCCAGGACTGGAGGCCTTGGGAAAACATGTGCTAGATGAAAATGGCCAAGAGTTTGTATGTAGAAAAGCAAAAGACGCTTTATTTACAATCTTATTTTTGCAGTACTGCATGGAAAAAGCTAACATTGCGTTCAAAGTTTATTTTAAAATAACTTCTTCCCCATGCAAGTCCCAGCAAGCACTACATAGTGCCACCAGCTTTACACCTCAGGAACAGGGGTGTTTTAACCTGGCACCCTCACTGCCCATCTTGGAGCTTGACCAGAGCTCACTGGCACTGCCTTCAAGTCACCTGAACATGTATTGCTTATTTACCTCTTCAATACACAGCATGTTGCCATAAAAATCAAGAACTGACAAAAAAATTACATATATATTTTCTGGTGACTTCTTTTGTTAACAGTGAGATAATCTAAGGTAATTTAAAAAAATTCTCGTCCAAACCTTTTCAAGGTTGCGATGCTCTCARCTTCCAACCAGTATTCAGTAGGACTACAAATGCACTTTCAATCCTCTGAAATGCATATGTAAGGCCATAATATTATTACTCAGGTTACCTATCTGTTCTGTTGCTGTTAATACAGGTTTGTCCTTCCCAAGGGAAGTCGCACAAGGCTGCCCCTGGCAGAGCAGTACCCAGYGCTGTTGGCTCCAGCAAGCACCAACGGATGCGTGACCCAACCTCCTACTGCCCGCTCTGCCACGGAGCTATGTCACCCATGAGGATGGCAGTAAGGAATGACAGCAAACCACGGGAACGGAGGTGCTGACACCTCTCCGGGAAGGCCAGCTGCCACCGAGGCCACGTGGGCTGCACAAGGGGAGCAGCAGCTGGAATCTCTCACATCTGCCYGATGTTAACAGTCCCCCAGGACACAGCCGAACTGCTCCTAACGGATTAGAGCACAAGCAGCTTCTGGGATGCTGGCCTGCCAACAGGCCAGCRCTGACAAAATTAAAAACCACAGGTTAAGCAGCTGATTTCCAAGCCCTCAATCTCTCTTTTTTTTTTTTTCCTCCCCTCCCTATTACAGCCATGAAGAAGCATTCTCAAGTACTATCCCTTTAAAAGTGACTTTATTATACTATAATACTCAGTTTGTCTCTGCGGTAATTTACTACCCTTCTTGAAAATATTTTGCGGAGGATAATGCTTTTATTATCCAAAATACTTTYTCCCTGAATTGAAACTCAACATGGGCAAAAAGAGCTGTCTAACCTTATGCTCTATATATGACTCTGAAGAAGCAAARATAGAGCATGCGAGATATAACACAGAGCCCAAAAAAGCAGTGAACTAAGCAGTAATTGTTTTTCAGATGTGGCTCTAAGATTTTTAACAGCATGGTCTCAAAATCAAATGAGCTGCACTGTCCCAGATTTCAGTAAAGAATGATAGGGTTGAACACAGAAACAAAGACARTATTGTAGAAGGGAAGGATATGAAAAAAAGAAATGTCTGTCTCGAGACTTTGCAAGAATCAGGACATTAAATCCATCTCACCAGACAGATATGTTCGAAATATTTGCAGGCCTGTACGTACAGCATCAAGTACTTGGCCAAGTAAATCTGAAGCTTACCTCAACCATATGTACAATTCTGAACACAATTTTGATGTAGAACTGAAAGTCATAGGATCAAAATGAAATGCAACAAAGGATTCCTTGAAAATGGACTGTCAGTCTAAGTCAATATCTAACAACTTATTTTTCAGATGGAGAATACGAAGACCTTATCTATTAGAATTTTCTAAGGCTGATACGCTGCCATGTAAGAAAKCATTAATTTGGATGAAAAAAGAAACAGGAATTTTAAGGACAGGAAAGTTGCTTCAGCATAGACAAATAGTTTCAAAAACAGACATTACTCGTGTGGTTCACGTGGCATTCGGGGACCTTGATCCCTGAATGAATCAATTCAAGCTTATTTATCTTTCTACATTAATGAACTAAGCAACATGTTGATAAACACTGGTGACAAACACAGTGAATTGTGAATTCAGTTGTGTTGTTTTTAATAGGAAGATGTGGATGAAGGACTCTACTGACAGAACTGGAATGAAGCACCATGACATGAAAGCAGCAGAGTTGCACATTTAAGCAACTCGAAAGAGTTTCTGCTACATGTAGACTAGGAGTTTATGCATAGGAAATGACAACATCCAGGGACCAAATACACTAGCTGATTACAGGGTGTCAGAGATGTAAATGGGATGTGGCTGGGAAARAGGAGCAAACGTAACTGCAGGATTTTGTAAAATACTTCCTAGGGTAGACATGAAAACACGAACATACAGAACAGGAGAGAATTCAATCATCATCAGGAATACAGTACACAATTATATACATATTGATACCATGTTAAAAATGATAAATTCAACATATGCTTAGAAGGACTGATTATTGCAGGAATACAATTCATCTTAGAAAATGCAACATAGGGAAACATCAAGAAAGATAACTATTCAGTCCAAGTGGCTTAAGAACGACTAGGTACGGATTACCCATAAAAAAATTAACTTAGACTAGAAATTTGAAGACAATGTCTAAACACTGGTTAGGTTCTAGGGCAAATTTTCAAATTCAAATGAAGTCCAAAGGCTTAAAACAAACAAACAAAAAAATCACCCCAACCACCACCATCACCTGTTGTAGAGCAGCTTTTCTTTAGGTGGTTCAGTTTTAGGAGAGCTGTTGCAATGCAGTTTARTCTGCTCAAGAGTAAAAAAACACAAGTTTTGGATTCTGTTGTGCATAATTCTGCCAAGTAACTGTATAACCCTACATTTCCCTAATGTACRTTTGTAAAGATATTTCTATTTAAGACAAACGTACAGAGAATGTAAAAAGCATCATACTGAAACAGCTGAGCTTAGCTATGCCTAACTGCTGTAAAACAACCCAAATTGCAAATGCAAGGGAACAATCAATTTACAATCTTTCTTCATGCTACCACCCCTGAAGTTCATGAAGGAAGTAGACAACCTGTGAATATAACTGCTAACCAGTTGGCAACACGGTCATCAACATAAATGACTTCAGATTATACATGCAGAAAACCTAGCTCTCTTTAAGCAAGTTCACAAAAACAATACCATTAAAATGAATCAGAACTATT